GATGATCGCACCACGTCGTGTTAAAATGGTCAAGTACCCTCGAGGCAGACACACAGTGCTTACTGCTGGCTCTGGAAGTGAAAGCACCAGAAAATATACTTAGTCATACGCAGGTGTCATCCGTACGCAAGGAAGTAAGCACAAGATGCCGAACACCCTTAGCAGGATGCAGCGCACCCTTCATGCGACTCGCCGAATATCTCACGGCACTTCGCGCTTGGTGATGTGAGAGCCTGGTCCGGTGAGAACCCGGCGTGCTCCGTCCCGGCTTTGTAGGGATGCGAGGACAATGGTCTAATGACTACTGCATGCACGACTATGAGCACACACCCCCCGCATTACCTTTTGGGCCTGGAAGCATGGTTTCTTTGATTTAGCCCCGGGGTAGATTGTTTTCGACCAAAAACAAATCTCTCCCCCCGGGTGCTTCAATTTCCTCCCGGGGTACCAGTTTTTCCACGAGTTCCCCCCGGGGGGACTGTATTTCTCTAATTTTCTGAGTCGGTTTTGTTGCATCGCGGAGCACAAAATGCGTGACATGGGACGGAAAATTCATTTGCAGATCTGCGCTTCGAGCGAGATTTAGGTGTACCGTTTGTCACTGGAAGGCGGGGTCTTCCTCTTCTTGGAATCACTTGCGGGACGAGACAAACTCCCTCGGCTGCTGTCCACCTTGCCGTCTTCTTTCTCTTCGCCTTCGTTGCTCTTCCGTTCCTCCTCCCTCTGCTTGTTGAGCGCTTGCTCGTAAACCTTGTCCATCTCAGTTCGCCAGTCTCGCTGTGTGTTTGGCGTGTGGACCATCATTATTTTGCACAACCCCCGGGGGGGGGTTCCCCACGGGGTAGCGTTGAAAAATTAAAAACTACCCTCCCCCCGGTAGGGGGTTTTACATTTTTGGGTATCGCCCTGAGATGTCTCATGGGCCCCCATGGGCCCCCATGGGACCCCATGAGATCGATCTCATGGGGACCCATGGGGACCCATGGGGGCCTATGGGTCTCCATCAGAAATAATCTCATGGGGTCCCATGGGGTTCCATGGGGCCCAATGAGGCCCCATGAGAATCTCATGGTGCCCGATGAGAAATCTCATGGGTTCTCATGGAGCACCATGACTTTGTCATCGGGGTTCATGGAGGCCCATGGGTCCCCATGGGGCACGTTGAGAATCGACAGTTTCATCAGATATCCCATGGGACACCATGGGAAGTGATCTCATGGTGTCCCATGAGATTTGCCATGGGTTCGTAAATAATCGTTTTTACGGGGCACAATGAGCCCTCATGGCGTGCTATGGGCCACCATGAGATCCAACAAGAAACAATAGCGAAAAAGGCGGAAACAGGGAAACAATTCATGTACTCTAGGCCCCGTGAGGCCTCATGGTGCGCCATGAGACCTCATGAGGCACCATGAGGCACCATGGTGCACCATGGCGTCCCACTATTTTTTTGGTTCATTTCAATAATATTGGGGGCCCATGCGGGGGTTGAGGAAGTCGTGGCTACCCACGGCGCCCCGTGAGAGCCACGGGGCATAACAAAGGCACATACTTTTATGAAATTCCCTAGTTTTATGTACTTCCCTCTGGACACTCAACCTTTTCAATAGTTATTACCTTCGAAAACGCCATGGGGTACCATGGGATACCGAGGGGCACCATGGTTGACCCCGAAGTGCCCCATGAGATTATCATGGGTTGCCATGGGCCACAATGTGTTGCTTGACATGGGGCACCATGAGAAAACTCACACACCTTCAAAAATAATGAATGGTGGGGCACCATGAGGTATCATGAGAAGCAAGAATAGTAATAATGAAGTACGAAGTGAAAAAATAAACAATAATATTCAACAAATGTCCTAAAAGAAATATACAAAGCAAGAAGTACTATTATTCATATATTATCAAATTGATTGGTATCAAAAACAATAGATGCCAACAGTATGATTTTTTTCACTATCCAACATGCATGAAGAACATGAAAATGAACAAACCACGATTGACTAAATGTTTATGTGTATCTTGCGAGTAGGTGTAGTTTCTGTTCTCCAAGAGCAGCTTGCAATAAAGCCGACTTCGTTGGAAGGGTTAGTTAACTAGTCGTGCCAGCTCTGTCACACAATCAAGAGACAATTTTTGAGAAAGTCAGACGCGCCACCTTACTCTGCAATGTTCAACCCTGTTCCCACAGGAAAACAAAGATGAGAGAGTGCTCTGTTGAGACACCACCCACCCGCCCGGCAACCTTTTTTCGCTCAGTTGTTCTCCAACAAACTTGTAAGTGAAGACAACTTTTCACGTCAGTTCTTCTTCTCAGATAGTATGGGATCAAACGGTGGCATCACCTCCCGCAGTAGGTGTATCCACTCCTTCCCTTACTTCCAAGACCTGCGCTTAATAACAATCTTCGTAGGGCTAAAACAACCCTACTTNTCCCACAGGAAAACAAAGATGAGAGAGTGCTCTGTTGAGACACCACCCACCCGCCCGGCAACCTTTTTTCGCTCAGTTGTTCTCCAACAAACTTGTAAGTGAAGACAACTTTTCACGTCAGTTCTTCTTCTCAGATAGTATGGGATCAAACGGTGGCATCACCTCCCGCAGTAGGTGTATCCACTCCTCCCCTTACTTCCAAGACCTGCGCTTAATAACAATCTTCGTAGGGCTGAAACAACCCTACATGTTGGAACAAAAATGTATACACTCATATCTTCCTTCGCTCCTGCTACAGTAACGGCCGACCGCTAAACGCTGCCAGTGACCGGGTTTGTTCGCTCAAAGGAAACTCGTTGAGCTCCCGGTATTGCTCCTCCGTCACTCTCCGGACCATACTTGATCCCTCCGAACCTGAAGCGACTACCTCCATCAATCTCATGTACCGCCAGGCCGTCCTCAGGTTCTTCCGGTATGCCTTCTGCATAATTCTGGGTTTCCCCGCTGACTCAAAAAAGACCAGTTCAGCGATTTTCACCAGTCCGGCCCGAAAAAACACCAGTTCGGCTATTGCGCCGCTCTGAACAGGTGAAAATGAGCTGGTGTTTTTTTTTTGCAGAGCTGGTAAAAAAGCCCATCTGTATTTCACCTGTTTAGTTTTTTTTTTTTTTTGCGTGTTCAGGAGGCGAAGCGGTACATGGCGAGATCGAGTCGTTCCTACAGCAGTTGCGCGCAACACCCAGTGGCGAGGCAGCTGGGACTCTTGTGCATCAGTGGGTGTGGACGTGTCATTCGGTGGGTTCCGCTGGGAGAGTGATTTACTCCTCGCAAATGGGGTAATCGCACCACGTTGTGTTTAGTTGGTCATTCACCCTCGAGGAGGCAGTTACACAGTGCTTATGTTCGTCTCTGGCAGTGAAACGGATATCTGTCTCTAGCAGTGAAAGTACCAGGAAATAGATTTCGTCATTCGCAGCTGTCATCCGTATGGAAGGAAGTAAGCACAAGATGCCGAACACCCTTATCAGGATGCAGCGCACCCTCCATGCGACTCGCCGAATACCTCACGGCGCTTCGCGCTTGGTAATGTGAGGGCCTGGTCTGGTGAGAACCCGGCGTGCTCAGCCCCGGCTTTGCAGGGATGCAAGGTCAATGGTCTAACGACTACGGCATGCACGGCTATGGGTCCATGCCCCCTCCCTTTCGTGGTGGTACCAGGCCGGCGTTGTAGCTCTAGGTATTATTTGGGGATTTTTCTTTTGGCTGTGCCCGGCCACCTTTCAGGTGTATAAGACAAGGAGGGCAATGAAGGCCCTGTTCACGATGCACGGGGCTATGCACGCGCTTGGTTACTGGCCAAGGCTGATGAGCTATGAAATTCAACGGAGTCCTACTAGGCATGTTCATACCGGTCTCTGGAAAACACAGAGCGCGCACACGTTTACCGCGTGGCCGGCCGTCGTCGTGATGTTCGTCATGCCGTCAATCGCCATCCTTTGACATGTATCTGTCTGAGCGGCGTCATGCACATGTGCCTCCTTCTCCTTTGTTGTGGGCTTGCGCAGGAACATCAGACCCATCCAAGAGGTCCTGCATCACGCCCCAAGAAATAGCATTCCCAAAGGTGTACAGATGCTGCTGGCGTTATCGTCGAGGAGGAGGAGGAGCAGTGCAGCTATCGGTGGCGAGGCAGTTACTGCGGATGTGACACATAATCCGAGCCGACACAGCCGCGAGTCTTACGTCGATTCGAACAGGCTCGCCGGCCTTATGAACTACCTCCCGCTGCGGGAAGCATTCGGAGAGTTCTGCCAGAAATCGCTCTGCAGCGAGATTAGTCGATGTGTGGTGTGTGTACACGCTGTGTAGTCATTGGCTCAATACTCGTTCCTCACAAATTCTTGCTGCCCTAAGGCCTTGCCTTTCCTTCTTCAACTTCAGACCTCTAAGAAAACGGGCCACGCAGAATATTTCATTTCTCCGCGGTGCTTGCGTTCATTTCATTTAACGATACCGGCTTATCCGTCCTTCGGCCACGTGCACTCACGAACAAGCCGTCTCTACCAACCATAGCTGGCATGGAGCAATGGACAGCATCAACCGGCGGTTCTACAAGTACGCGTTCTTTCTGACTCCCTACGGTTGGGGTCGCAGCAAGCGTGGCAGTATGTGTTTTGGTGTGGCGTATGAGGCGGCGTTTCGAAGGAATCGAGATGGCTGGTGTATGCACATCACACACGAGAAAGCGACAAGGGCGTGTGCTGCAGACACTTGCAGCATGGCGGCCCTTTCCTTCCGAGTACTTTCTGGCTGAGCCGGGGCCGTTGGGCTGGATGATGTAATGTTCGATGTATCTCCCCGCTCCTCACCTCCCTCTAGTGTGAACAAAGAATCGCCGTCCGCTTGTCACGCCCCCGTGTATATTCTCCTTTTTTTGACCATCTGCACGTCGATCGCCCTCTGACGATCGATCGGTTTTCTGATCACATCATGCGTGTACGTCTGTGCGCACACTCTCATTCGCAGTCTTTTCGGTTCCTCCTGGATGCTTCCAAGTTCAAAGGCGTGATCGTCGAAGGCCCCGTCGACGGCGATGCCAACGGCAGCGCCGAAGAGGAGATCGAGGCACCAACACACACGAGCGGGTTGGGGGACGTGGTGGCCATGGTGAACGAGTACATCAAGGACGGCGCTCCCTCGGAAATCAACATCGGCAGCGACACCAAGCACGACATCATGGAGCTGGCCAAGGTCGAAGCCTTCGCCTCGCTTGACCAGGTGAGAAGTAGAAAAGAATGGATCTCCAAGCTTTTTCTTGTCTTGGCCATGTGAGAAGCATGAGTAGGAAGGACGTTCGAAGCTTTCGCCTTGCTTGACCAGATGAGAAGTAAGGAGAAGGAAGTTTGAAGCTGTCGCCTCGCTTGACAGATGAAAAGCAAAAAGAAAGGAGACAACCCAAAGGGCGTGCGTGGAGGCATGGTGCTGGCGTGCTCGGCGTTTCCGTTTTGGTTTCTAAGCACCGTCGGTAACAAAAGACATCAAACTTCGGGGAATCGAGTTTCAAAGATCGATGCATAGCTCCACGACGACGAGGATGCGTAATCAAAATGTAGGTATGCGGAACGCTCTCGATGAGACGGCCCCAACGGTGCCATTGTCTGCACCGCCATTCTTCCTGCCGTGGAGTAATCGAGTTTTGAAAATCGGTGCAGGGGGTGTCCTTTCTTGTGTCACTTGCATTAACAACATGGATGCATTTGCGTATGTGGCGGTTTGGGCGCGATCGGTCGGGACAAGCATGTTTTCTAAGGACCACAACTTTCTTTCCGCGTCTTCAGCCTAGGCGCGCATCCGCCGCGCCACGTGCAATAGCGCACGGGGCAATGCACACCTCGACCAGGCCCAGTATGGATAATATTTGTGTTGTCCACATCGAACATTTCGTGACCTGCTCAAATGTCGTGCGGGGCAGCCGCATCAGTACCCAACTTGTCCTCACGGCAAGCCTCGGGACAGAGACAGCGTTCCGTGTGTTCTCGACGTAGAGTGTGGAGGCGTAAGAAACACCAAGAACGGTTTCATGGATTCTTTCTCCACCACCGGGAAGGCGCATGCACTTGACATGGCAACGAGATAATATCCACTTCAACCGGGGTTTCATTATCTTTTTCAATGGTGGGAGTTGAGCGGAAACTCCGGGTTTTGTTATGTCTGGTAAGTGTGTCGTAAAGATACTGTGGAACAAGACCCTTCGTAGATGAGGCATAACCGACACCTCTTGGACACTTCCAGAGGGGAAACAAGGAAGCAGTCGCCGCTTCAATTCCCGATTGTCGCCCCCTTACTCCTAGCGCCGCGACCAGTACGGACACGAAGTTCGTACCTGGACGAAAACTGCCGATGATAGTATTTTGTGCAGATTCTGCTCGAAGCCGCGGCGTTACTTTCGTTGTTCTCTTCCCATGTACAGGATGCGCGAAAGCTGATTTTCGTCAAGGCCGAGAGGGAGATCAAGATGATCCTCGAAGACAATATCATGGCCAGGTTCTTGGCGTCCGCACAGTACAAACGGGCTGTGGACGGTGACGACCATGGACGTGTGTAAACCCCGTACGGGGAGAGTTGACTCGGTACTCCCGCAGCCGCTATTTTAGCAACAACATCGTGTTGAACGATTGTGTTTGTTGAAAAACTGAACTAGCGCGTACAATATGTTTATCATCAAGGGGAAATCAACCACGTACATTTATCCTGGAGGCACCTGTTGAGAAGCGCCCGATATAATGGCTTCGAAAAGTTCGCTAATGAACCTCTTGTACCGATAGCGATCTCCGGGCAAGACAGCGTTGAGTACAGGGATGACAACCCTGGGGGAAAGGTGTTTGTGGCTGCAAAGCCACACCGGACGCGGGCACTAGCTTTTGATGAGAAGTACGATGACCACTAGACCACTAGTCAGCGCCGACTAGTGGTCTAGTGGTCATCGTGCTTCTCAACATAAACTCCTGTGGGCGTTTCCCCCCGGGATCGAAAGCAAAGAAGAAGCAACACGCCCGTTCCCCAGTTTTATCCAGGGGGCGTTTTTCTTCTCCCCGTTGCACCACAAGCCATGGCTTGCTGTCCGCACTAACTCAAAATGTTGGATGGCGCTTTCAACGGGCGGACGTTCCCAGATACGTTTTACCCACGAATGGCGGAGTCCTGGTGTAGGTGTTCGAATGGAATGAAGGCAAAATAGCCACCAAAGGAGGAAAGCTACCCACCTGCCGGTGGGCTGGAGTATGTATTTATCTACTAGACATGCCGAAAAATGAAAGAGGCCTCGGATTTGGCCTCCTACTGTATGTACAGCCCCCAGAGACCGTGACCCCCGCTATACGAAGAAGTCGGTCTGAACGCCTGCCCCCGTGGAGGCTACATGTTTCTTGCATATGCATACATACAACACGCATATTCTGCTCTCACTGACTGTGTAGATGATACGTGAGGGGTCTGTTTCTCACATCCCACTACGAGATCAACGGGGGCGGTGGCGGAACTCCTGACGGTGTCCTGACGGTGATAGTTTGACGATCCCGAACAATACTATCCCTTGTAAAGTTATGGGTTGGGTTGGGGTGGGTAGGGTAGGATAGGGTAGGGTAGGGTAGGGTGGGTTTGCTTGGTCGGTCGGTTGGTCGGGTTGTGTATTGGGGACGGGTTGGGTTGGCTTGGGGATAGGGTAGGTTGTGGGTCGAACGGCCGGTCGGTCACTCGATCGGTCGGCCTGGTTCGCACGGACTTCTTCGTGGTTGCTCGGCCCCTGTGCGTCACTTCTTTCTACATCGTTGTGGCGGCGTGTTTTTGCGCGACGGTGTGTGGTTCGTTCTTTAGGGGAGGTCTTGATTGGGGCGTGTTGGTCACCAGTGTCGCCTCGCATGTTGCAGTCGGTTCACTTGGGATGAGGCGGGTTTTGTTTTTTTTGTCTTGCGGTGTTTGCTTCGTTTTCACCTCGACCGTGTCCGGTTGGATTGGGTTGGGTTGGGATCGGGCTTGGTGGGGTTGGGTTGGGTTGGGTTGGGTAGCGTTGGGTTGGGGTTGGGTCGCCGCCGTCGATTGCGCCGCCGTCGCTTCGTCACTCGTCGCCGGTGGGTTGGGTCGGGTAGGGTCGGGAAAGGGTTTGGGTATAAGGTTGGGTAGAGTGGGGCTCGGTCCGTCGGTCGGTCGGTCGATCGGGTGGCCTTGCGCCGCCTTCTTCGTCGATCGCGCCACCGTCGCTTGGTCGATCGTCGCCGTCGGTCGCCCTTGTTACTTGTAAATACGCGTCCAAATCCAACAAAATTGATTAATACCCATACGAATACATACGAAGTACATCACCACAGAGAAGCCGTATGCACATAATCACCACCAAACGAGTAGCAAGTTACAGTTATTGCCCGCGATTATTAAGAAACCATCAAGAAACAATGAAAGGTTTCAGCGTTTACAAGAGAACATCAACGCAGTAGTATTTTCGCAAGCTTACGAACGCATGTAGGATACCATGAGGATTGTCATTCTTTTTATTTCAAATTGAAGAGGAGATATTTTCACGATGTAAGTGACAGTAGAAATAAGTCCTACATATGTTGTTGTACTTCGTATTGGTTTAATAATATTCATGTAGAGAATGAGACATCAAGTGAAAGTTTTCTGAGGTACATGTGCAATTGTCGGAAGGAAAAACAAACATTGAAAGGCTCAAATTTCCACGAAAAAGAAAGAGGATTATGGTCCGTTCCGGCAAATATTCACAATATTTTCCTTTGCACAAAGGTGCACTTTTCTCGGGGTGGGGGTACTTATTCCGAAATCTGAAAATACCGCGTAAATCGACGTTTCAAGGCGCATTTTCGTACGGAGTTTTTTTTTTTTTTTCGTCCTTCGCTCGATATGTTCAGATATTCAAGAAATCTTGCTTACTTTCTGGAGGGCGGTGTTTTTTGCAGACACAAAATCTGAGACCGGATTTGGACAGCTCTCGTGATTTGCCACCGATGATTTTTTTCCGATTTCCAATTTGACAAAAAATAACGGAGTTATGGGCAAAAGACCGGATATTGGAGGGTATTTTGCTTAGTTTCTTGGGGACAATCCAACCGTACGATTCAAAAATAAAGTGCTGCAATCGATTCCTCTCATGATTTCCCACCGATGATTTTTTTCCGGCTTAAAAAAAAAACCCGAGTTTCGGAGATATTTCGGGAGGTTTCACACGCCCTCGGGGAATTTTTTCCCGCCACACACACACCAGAGGACACACACACACACACCCTTTACGCACGCAACGAAAGACGCACACGCGCTCCGGGCACATGGGTCGCCCAAAGGGTAAGCGCAAGCTGCCAAGGAACGCCGACGNGAGCCGGTCTTAACCAAGAAATCGGTTCCCGATTTCACTTCCCGATTTGATTATAAGACCACAAGATCCAAAGAACTCTCTTGTTGATTGGCTAAAAGTTCTGGAACCCGTGGAATCCTTAGGACTTATAATCAGATCCCCCCTATCCAAATCGGGAATAAAAAAACNTAGGAATGTTCTTCTGTGGACTGTGCATTACTCCGAGTATTCGTTGGGGGGTACGCTAGCTGTTCTGAGAATTGTGTTCTGGTTTTATGCGTTGACCGAGGGACATGGCTGGTGGTGCTGAGAGCCGGTCTTCACCAAGAAATCGGTTCCCGATTTCACTTCCCGATTTGATTATAAGACCACAAGATCCAAAGAACTCTCTTGTTGATTGGCTAAAAGTTCTGGAACCCGTGGAATCCTTAGGACATATAATCAGATCCCCCCTATCCAAATCGGGAATAAAAAAACAGGTAAAATGATTTAATCGGATCTCGATTTGGGTGAAACGAAACCAACTTCGAACATTAGCGGTCTACTCGCACGTACGGCGCATGCCCACCTACCCCCATCCACACGAACCCCATCCACCGCCGAGCACGGAGGAGAGAGAGAGCACATAAAGCCAACCGAAAGGGAGGGTGACTGCGCATCGTTGTTGCACGTGACTGGCGCCGAAAAAAACGTGTGTGGGATGAACTGATCTGTGGGGCAATCTCCCGTGGATTGTCGAACCTCAAAATGCTCAGACAAATCGGTAGCTTTCTGTTTGACGAGGCTCGATTCAGAGTCTCACATGCATAGACGTCGTGTCAGTACCCCACGCAGGCCATGTACGCGTTTGGTGTGTGCATCTCGGGAGCGATAGCTCCTCATGTGGTGTGGCCACGTCATGACAGACGTTACAACAGCAACTTGGCAGTCGGCAAGCGGCGGACCTCTCGGGTTGTTCGCGGTGGACTGCAGATATTCGTTTCCATCTGGTAGATCTCCCGTTAAGACACACAGGCCATTTCAGGTCGGATTCAGGTAGATCCGCCTCTTGTATTCTTATAATCAAATTCGAAATCGGGAACCGATTTCTTGGTTAAGACCGGCTCTGAGGTGCTTGCCTTTCTCGCCCACCACGCCCACTCCATCTGCTACCCTGTCTCTCGAGCCATGGTCTCATAATACAACATGTTTTCCCCAGAAGCCACGAGTTTGCAACACGCTATGGCGAAGAGCGCCGGTCTTCTACTGCGTCGCCGAGGATTGTACAAGAAGACTGCTGCGGGAGAGGTCTGATCAACCTGTCCCGCTATTGGTTTCTGGGGATCCTCCAGGTGACCCGCCGGCGGTTGGTTCACAGGATGTTGGTGGGAAGATCATTTCATTAGAGACGCAGTTGTCTCAACTCACGGCTTTAGTCGAGTCGCTTGTTGAGCCACAGGGAGTTCTGGTGGAGTCCTCTGTTCAGTAGCTGCTGCGCCGGGAAGCGGCGGAACAGAGTAAGCTAGTGGGCATCAATTGGATGCCACTTAGCAGCGACTGCGGGAGGTACGGGCAGCAGTGCCCAGGCCTTGGCATGTCCAACGTGTGGGTTGGGAGTAATAGTCTTAAACACTCAGGCTTGAACCCCCATGAATTGAATAGGTCGTTCGTCTGCTAATGATGGTACTAACAGCGGCGAAACCGACGCCGGTTGGCATCTTGCAGATAGATGCTGGCACAGGACTGCAGGAGGTACGGGCAGCAGTGCTCAAGGCCTTAGCATGTCCGGCGTGAGAGTTGGGAGTAGCAGTCTTGCAAACTCAGGCTTGAACCCTCACGATACTGCTGTAAACCGTTCCTTTGCTGGTGCTGCAAGCATTGTTCGGTTGGGATGGGGAGTAGGGCTGTACTAGGTAGCCAGGCTTTCATTCCAGGAATGGCTAGTGGGGCTTTCAGTAGCCAGTCTTCCATTCCACCCCCACTTACTGCTTCGAGTAGATAGTGGGAAGATGTCGCTGGAGGAAACACATTAATTCCTGGGGTCGGCATAAATGAACCAGGAGAGCAGTTGGGTAGGAGCCCTTTTCAAAGTTCCCGAAGCTCCTTATGTTCAACGGGTCGGAAGTCACATATCCGCCGTGGTCACAATAATTTGTTGATTGCCCGCCATAACAACCTGTTGGGAGTGTTTATTTCTGAGACACAATGTTCACATTGCATGCATTGAATTCGATTTGACACCCTGGGTAGAAGGATGATACAGTGTGGGTGTGCTGCGCCAGGCAGAAATAGGATGGTGGTTTTTGTTCGACTGTTTGAAGAAAGACTCTCTCAAAACCATGGTTAGGCATGCAGGTTCAGCAAAGCATTTCGAGCGTTGAAGGATCACTCTCTACTTTTGAGCCAGAGTCAAATTCATGCGTCCAAATGAGAAGTCTGAGAAGTCTGGACTTGGTGTTGCTATCTAAAATCAACTGGAACAACTCGAGTGATCTGACGTGTCCGGCAACATCTAGATGCTTGCTACGGGTGTTCTTGTTCAGTGATGATGCTGTCCGCAACTGCTCTTTTCTTGTGAGGANCTTGGCGGTCCTGATGGTGTGATGACTGCTTTCAATGGACATGTTACTTTTCAGAATCTCGATGGTATGCTCATTTCGCCTGCGTATCGTCTAGAAAATAACTGTGTTGGTTCAGTGTTGGCTGCCCTCACTCCTTCAAACCCCAAGCATGAATCTAAGATGGATGTGAACGAGTTTCATAACATTTATGCTCATTCGCATGAAGGATTGCTCCGTACAACTGCAAAGCGACTAGGTATCGAGTTGACCGGTAAAATGCATGCTTGTACGGGATGTTCGATGTCGAAGGCATTCAAGAAAGGGATTGCTCATGAAACAAAATGCAGATCGGACAAAAAGTTGGGCAGGGTCTTGTTGACCTGGCAGGGCGGAAGGGCGTTGCGTTCGTAAGGGGTAAACATTACCCCATGATAGTGAAGGATGATTTCACAAGACGTACATGGATGTATTTCCTGAAAAGTAAATCAGACGCCGCGAGTGCTTTCCGGAGTTTCCTCGCAAGTGTGCGTGCTGATGGTATCCCATCATTGGTTGAGATTGTTAGATCTGACAATTGGGGGGAGTTTTTCGGAGGAGAATTTGCGTCCGTGTGCAACGAGCTCTTGATTAAGCAAGAGTTCACCCCGGCTTACAGTCCCCAATACAACGGTGTTGCAGAGCGTGGTTTGGGATTGATTGAGGCGGCGGCAATGGTTGCCCGTATTCAGGCAAAAGTTTTGTTTGGGCATGTGCAATTACCTAAGACTGATAGACTATGGGCTGAGGCGATGCACTGGGTTTGCGAAGCAAATAACCACACAGCTTGTTCCGCGAACCCCGATAGGAAGTCGCCGTATGAGATGTGGCATGGTGAAGCTAGTGCTGCTAGATCCGTTTTTGAAACCGGCTTTCTGTAGGTGGCAGCGACCGTCTAAGCTGCTGCCGAAGGGTGAGGCTTTCTTTTATGTCGGTCGTTCGAGAGACCACCCGCGTGACTGTCATAGAGTACTTACGAGGGTTGGAACTATTCAGGAAACGAGGAATGCGACGTGGGAAGCGTTGCCGTCACAACTCCCTCAACCGCAACGCTCTCTCTTGCCGATTGAGGTCGCAGAGCAGGGAGGGGAGGAACGTGACGACGATGGAGAAGCTGAGGTATATCCGCTTTTAGGGAGCGGAGTTCCCCACATTCTTTTGCGACGTAATGTAACGGTCTCTGGTGGAGCAATCGATGAGGTTGGCAGTATTGATGCAGGCAGTATAGGTCAACCCCCCTCTGTGCCATCTTCGCCCGCGATGAATTCCTCCAGTAGCGCAGCCCCCCCTGTGTCTTCTCCAGCAGACGAGCTCACCGATGAGAAAGGACAGGGAGGGCCGGAGACAGGGGAGGCAGAATCGGCGTGTCCGGGAGGGCAGGAGGTAGAGAGTCATGAATGGTTGGATGAAGAGTTGATTGAGCCGGGAGGGCAGGAGGTAGAATCGGAGTCATTTCCCCCTGCTACGCACGTACCATCTATTCGTCGTGCGCGGCATGAGCTTGCTAGTTACAACACTGCTGCGAATGAGAATGTTGAAGTCAGAGAAGGCAGAACCCGTGCGCAAACTCGGACAGTAAATCAGCAGAGCGTAGCCGGCCTCATGGCCACTCTAGGACTCATCTCCGCATTAGAAATACTAGAGGCACTCTTAGTGGAACAGAGAGCATCTGATGCAATGGAATTGCCGAAAGTGCTCATTCAGGACGTAGAGTCAGAACCGGGTAGCTATAAAGAAGTCCGTCAGTCAAAATACCTCTCTATTTGGGACAAGGCCATGTCTGCAGAGTTTGAAGGCTTGTTTAGAGCAGGAACGTTCGCGTTAGCAGTAGTTGTTCCAATAAGCTGTAACGTGATAGATGCTAGATGGGCCTACAAATGGAAAGCAGATGAAACAGGCAAGATAGTGAAGGCCAAGGCTAGGCTTGTAGCGAAGGGCTTCAAGCAGAAGCATAGTGCGGATTATCTTGAGACTTTCTCGCTTACTGCAAATGCTGCATCGATTCGTTTGTTGGTAGCATTGGCGTGCAAGTATGATTTGGAATTTCTCACTTTGACATTGAGCAAGCGTTTGTTGACATTGAGCAAGCGTTTGTTCAGTCGGAATTGGATCACGAGGTGTTCATGAAGTTGTCTCCTGGCTACGAGTCGATGGCAGGAAAGGTAGTCCGTTTAGACAAAAGTTTGTATGGACTGAGACAGGCATCTAGAACAATTCACAAGGGACTTGTATCGGACCTGAAGAGGATTGGTTTCGAACAGTCTCTGTCAGACCTCTGTGTTCTTCGTTTCATGATGGGAGACGAGGTGTTGGGTATGATTGCGATTCATGTGGATGACATTCTGCATGCAGGAATTGAGAGGCTTGCCAAGATGGTTGTGGAAGCGCTAGGTGACTCTCTCCCCACGAAGAATTTGGGCGAGGTCAGGTACTTTCTTGGTTGCGCATTCGTTCGCGACCGCGAGGCTGGTACGATTGAGATGTCACAAGAGAGTTACATCAGGAGTGTTCTGGAGAGATTCAATGTTTGTCGCACCAGCTCAATCCCTGCTTCCCCTGCTAACGATTACAGGTCCGTGATGGAGGATGAGGGGGCAGGAGATGTGCCGTTCCGAGAGGTGGTGGGGAGCCTGATGTGGATCGCCAACCAGAAAAGGCCCGACATCTCGAAAGCTGTGCGGGCGGTGGCAAGGCACTCTCACGAGCCAAAGAGAAGCCACTGGAAGGCGGCCCAGAAGATTCTAAATTATCTTCTGGAGACGGCACATCTAACTTTGAAGTACAAGCATGACACTATGGTAGACGTAGGCACGTTGGTGTACGTATACGCAGACTTCGCCAGTAAGGCCACTGACCGTAGATCAGTTTCGGGAGCACTAGTTCGTGTAGCTGACTGTCTTGTTGCTTGGATTTCTAGGACGCAGAAATGTGTCACACTTTCAACAACTGAAGCAGAGTATGCGATGGGTGACGGTGTAAAAGAGGTTCTGTTTGTCAACGGAATGCTCGAGTTCTTGAGGCCTAGTGATAGAATCGGTAATAGTCAGGTACGAGAGGACAACGAGGGTGCGATTGCACTTACTGAGAATCCACTCAGTTCGTGTAACAGTAAGCACATTGACGTGAGACACCACTTTCTCAGGAATTTGACAAAAGAGGGAGTGTTGGAAATCAGGCATGTCCCTAGGGAAGTACAGCATGCGGACATTCTGACGAAGGCTCTGCCGAGAGATCTTTTTGAAGTTCATCGTAATTTTGCTCTAGGCTCGAGATCTGAGAAGTAGAGGTCTGAGTTGTGTTTTATTTTGGTTGTTGTTTTTCTGATACATATTTGATCTGGTCGAAACAACAGCCGCAAGGGAGGGTGTTCGTGATAGTTGCTGCTGTGTGTGTCGACATAGTGACGTAGAACAACTTGATTGGACAGTTTGAATTGCGGGACTGTCTGCGTTGAAGATCGTTGAGTAGCCACATATTATCAGAACAGCAAGGAACGTTCTGTGGGAATGTTCTTCGTGGATGTACATTACCCCGAGTGTGTTTCTTGTGGATAATGCATCAGTCAGAGGATTCATGGTACGTTGTGAAGTGCGTTAGCCCCTGTCTGTTGAGTCTTTGTGTTCCGACATCATTGTGTTCTGCTTTTGTGCGTTGGTCTAGCGACATGGGTGGTGCTGCGGTGCTGCTGTGCTGCGGTGTTAGCCCCACCCCCGCTCACTCCACCTTTTGACCTGTTCTCCTGATCCAAGGTCTCATCAATACGAACATATTCTCCCCAGAAACCACGAGTTTACCAACAACGGGGCCCCATGAGACCCCATGGCACCTCACGGCCACTCATGAGCCGAATCATGAGGCGACCCATGACGCGGCTCATGGGTCGCCTCATGGGTCGCCTCATGGGTCACCTCATGATTCGGCTCATGAGTGGCCGTGAGATGCCCCATGGACCTTCTTGAGGCGTTCCACGAGACGTCTCGGGGCCTCTCAAGAGCGACCATGACACATCTCGCAGGACACACTATGGTCGCTCATGAGCGCTCATGACAACTCATGACGGCTCATGGGCGCTCATGAGCGCTCATGACAGCTCATCACGGCTCATGAGGGCTCATGAGCGCTCATGAGCGTTCACGAGCGGTGATGAGCGGTGATGAGCCCCCATGAGCGCCCATGAGCCTCGCGGGACACACTTTGTCGCTCATGAGCGCTCATGACAACTCATGACGGCTCATGGGCGCTCATGAGCGCTCATGACAGCTCCTCACGGCTCATGAGGGCTCATGAGCGCTCACGAGCGTTCACGAGCGGTGATGAGCTGTCATGAGCCCTCTTGAGCGCCCATGAGCGCCCATGAACTGCCACGAGCGGTCATTGAGCACTTATGAGCGCTCGTGAGCGGTCATGAGCGGTTGTGAGCGATGATGCCCGCTCATGACAGCTCACGAGCGGTCATGAGCGCTTGTGAGCGGTCGTGAGTACTCATGAGCTGTAATGAGCTTCCATGAGCGTTCATGAGCGCTCATGAGCGGTCGCGAGTACTCATGAGCTGTGATGAGCTTCCATGAGCGTTCATGAGCGTTCATGAGCGCTCGTGAACGGTCATGGACGCGTACGAGCCGTGGTGAGCTATCATGAGCGGTAAATAGCGGCCGCGAGCGTTCATGAGGTGTTCTGGGCTGTGATAAGCGCTCGTGAGCGGTAGCGGTCATGGGCGGTTATGAGCCGTGGCGAGCTGTCGTGAGCTTCCATGAGCGTTCATGAGCCTTCGTGAGCTGTCATGAGCGGCAATGAGCACTCATGAGCACTCATGGACGCTGATGAGCCGTGGTGAGCTATCATGAGCGATAAAGAGCGGCCGCGAGCGTTCATGAGGTGTTATGGGCTGTGATATGCGCCCGTGAGCGGTCATGGGCGGTTACGAGCCGTGGTGAGCTGTCGTGAGCTTCCATGAGCGTTCATGAGCCTTCGTGAGCTGTCATGAGCGGTGATGATTGCTCATGAGCGCTCATGGGCAGTTGTTATGAGCTACGGTGAGCTACCATGAGCGGTAATGAGCGGAAATGAGCGCTCAATAGTGCTCGTGAGCGGTCATGGGTGGTTATGAGCCATGGTGAGCTGTCATGCGCTGTTATTGGCGATGATGGGCGTTCGTGAGCTGTCAGGAGCGTTCATGAGCGCTCGCGAGCTGTGATGAGCGTTCATGGGCGGTCATGGGCGGTAATGAGACGTTGTGAGCTGTCGTTGAGCGTTCGTGAGCGCTCGTGAGCTGTCATGAGCGGTGATAAGCGATCATGAGCGCTCGTGAGTGGTGACGGGTGGTAATGATCTGTGGTGAGCTGTCATGAGTGGTGATGAGCGATCATGAGGTGTGATGAGCGATCACGAGCGATCATGAGCGGTGATGAGCGATCATGAGCTAACTCTACCCGGTCATGAGGGGTGATGAGCTGTCATGAGCGGTCATCACCGCTCATGAGTGTTCATGAGCCGACTCATGAGGCCCCTCATATTTTGTCCAAATGTTGTACAGGGTAAGACGGCTGTCACCTGCCAAACGGAATAAACAACGGAACAAGTTGTGAAAAAAGGGATTTAAAAGCAGGTGACGTCAGTGCTGTGTCACATTCGACACTGCTGTTAGTTCTCGAAAAACGCACCGCAATCGGCAAGTGAGTTCGGCTGAAAGGCGTTGGCGTGATTCAGAGCCGGTGTATCGACGGGTGACATTCCCGACAGCCCCGTGTACCGCGGTGTTGACAGTCAGCAGCAGCGCGTATTCGATTGTTCGTGGCCAGGTTTACCTTGACTGGTTGCTTATTTCGAGATGGCGGTTCGATCCTGCCCGAAAATGTCGATGCAGACGACCTCCAAGTAGCGATTCGAGCCCGAAATAGAGGTGTTCATCGTCCTGGGATGTGCAGCGTAGCTCCACAATCTCGTTTTGCTGCCATGCCGAACGTAGATGGTAAGGAGGAGGACGGTGCATCGCATAAAGAGAGCAAATACAATGTTGGGATGGCCCCTCTGAAGCAGTACGCTCTGGGATTTCCCATGTAGTACGTACTTCGGGTCACCCACACTTTCTACAGTTTTTTCCAAACCGCCCATGGGGTAGATACCCTTCAACCGAAACCAGGGTACTCCTGAACAATAGATTAACTGGTTTGGAACGGGCATTGCGACGGCTAATAACCCTAACGCTAACCCGAACCCATTTCCCCAAGCCCACACGATACGTGAGAGGTTGGTGCTGGGTGGCTAAGCTCTGGGTTGATATCCCGGTGGCTAAGTTCTAGGTTGATATGTCGGTGGCGAAGTTCTAGGTTGAAGTGCCCACGGTGGGCAGTTCGTGGGCAGTTCATGGGCTGCCCATGCGTGGGTCCATGGGCAGCTCAAGCTCCTGGGCAGCCCATGGGCAGTTCATGGGCAGTCCATGAAGTGCCCATGGGTGTACCATGTACACTATGTGGACAACGTTTGAGACACCTCATGAGACACCTGACGACGCATCATGAAGTGTCACGATGCCTCATGACACCTCGTGAAGCCTCATGACACCCCGCGGCGCCTCAGCTCATGACAGCTCATCATGCGTCATCACGCCTCATGATGCCTCATAACGCCTCATGACACCCCATCACACCCCATCACACCTCATGACGCGCCGTGGGTGCCCCATGGGCGGTTTAGCAAAATTGTCAGTAGTGCGGGAGATTGAAACAGGAAGCTTCACTATGTACTTGTCTTCCGTAAACAGATTCTCATCGTGCACGTGGAGGGGCTGTCCTGTTGTGGTGGATGATTCTCTGTTTTGCCAGGCGTTTCCTGAGGATCCGACGCCAATCTTGGTGCGCTACTGTTTGGAACTCACATTCGTCACAAGTCATACGTCTCGTAGAAGTGTCAGTTTGGCTCATTTCCTTGTACGTGGCCCAAACCAACATGCAACGGAGGGCAACTACGTGAAGGCATCAACAATAATATTCAACCGCGGCATAATACTGCAATACTGCGACGCCTGGGAAAATGGGCGGCTCTAGCCATTCATGATGCCCGATGAAGTACTCCTTTTCGGTGATTGCATCAACGAGTTGAACAACAGACGACGTGGTAGTGTGTGTATCGTCATTCCAAGAGACGTACCATGCTACATGGAACCTCGTGGCGGCCTACCCGCTGCAGCTGGAGAAGAACCCACGCAGTGTTACTGACGACAGCGGTTTGAACGCAGGGTTCAAGCCCGTAGCGTGGTAATAGACGACTGGCTGAGTTTGCTTACATCACCCAATCAACGGCCGATATGGAAAAGAAACAGACAGGTAAATTTACGGTGAAGGAGCTTAATATGTGACGCTATCGGGAAATTCGCCGGTCACACCATTCATCGTGATGTTGTATTGTATTGTGTCGACGTTTGCGGGTGTCCCACTTGTCCGTTTTCGAACAACGCATTGAAGTATTGGATTTCTGTAGATGGGCTCTGCAGCCCACTGCATCCGTATGCGTGTTGTCGGAGTGTGGTCTACAGTCCACATCAATGTGTCATCTGCATTATTATCACTGTTCCAGTTTGAGAACGCGGTGGATCGAAATTATCTTCTTCTTGATGAAACTTCATGAAACTTGGATGGTGTAATAATCCTCTCACCGTTATTCGTCTACGGTACCACTTCAACAAAACCAGCAAACTGCACGCTCCTACGCATGCCCATGCTCTGTTATGGAAGCGCCTCCCGTCCACACTTCCTTCGCACAACATAGATTGATAGGGCAAGGCGTCCGCCCGCCGATTAGCCGGGACGACCACCTTGTAGCAAATTCACCGCCCGCACATTCGTCAGAGTTACCTTGTCCAATGATGGTCGACTTGGGCACCGCCCAGAGGATACGCTTGTCCTCTTCGACCCACTCTCTCGTCGGTGGTCGGCCGCCCGGTCGGGTGTAGAAGGTGCCTTTCTCTTTTTGCACACCTATCAGATAGAGACGGCAGTCTCTAAATAGGACTCACTGTTTCGGGTATCGTTTGCTTCCTCCAAGCGTTACAGTGGCCCGAGCCCGAAGAAAGGATTTCGTTGAGTCTCCCTCCGTTCACTACCCATCTAAGAAGCCCCTTTTCACACCGCCGCCTCCGACACATGTATGCTCTCACGAACAACGGTTGCTGTCGTCACGTTTCGATTTAACTGCCGTCCTCGATTCATGCTACTATCCCTCTCGCTGTCTCGATGTGCTGTATCCCTCTTCTGCATGAGAATCTCTCTTGCACATGCAACGTTTCAGG